CTCTGAGCTTGGTTCTTTTCTTGCAAACGTTTCATTACCTGGCTAGGTAACATCCTCAGTGCTAAAATGGGATGGGGTTCGGATTTTAGCACTGGAGATGTTACCTAGCCGGGTAATGAAATGTTTGCAAGAAAAGAACCAAGCTCAGAGAACCCCAAGGACGCCACAGCCTGTATTTTGCTGAATGATAAGGCATCGCTATAAAGAAATCCAAATAGGGTAGTTGAAGGTACGTTGGAGTCTTTGAACAGAGAGTCCAGATACTCATAGATGACCCAGTCTCCAAGATGTTTCCTATGTTTGCCGGCACAACCACAGTTAGTCTGTGCTTTACTGTTAAACCACTAACCACTCAGACCGGGTTACACAACATGGTTGGCTAAAATGTGGTTGGCTATTATATGGGCCAGGATGTTGTCTAAGCACAGGCATTGAGATTTTGGCTGATTCCAAGCTGGAAAAAGATTTTTCCTTGTTTTCTCCCCGCTTTTACTTTCTTTCTCTTTGAAAAACTGAGCTCTTCATCCAGCTGCCGTAGAGGCCGCTGCAACGAGCTGAACAAGAGCAGAAAACAGTCAGGGAGGTGTTGCCTCAAGGCAATTGCTGTAATTTTGATCCCTTGTTTTGCAAAGGTGTCCATGCTATTTCTCTGCCTTGCCCTACAAATGGAGAACTGTGCAAAGTTGAAGGAACATTGCACCGGTTGCTGGCACAATCTGCTTGACATTGAAGGCAGCCTGAAAGTGGTAACGTTCTTGTCTGAGCTGGGCCCAGATCTCATTGTGCAAAGCACTTGGCAAGGCCACACACCAGCTTGTGCAGCCAAGGGCCCATCTGCTTGTGCATGAGTATGGTACATTATATCTATGTTTTGTGGTAGGTGGGATCTAAAGATAATGGATCCAGAGTACGACTTTGAGAATAAAAGCTGTAAGAAATGAATTCAAGGTTGGAGACGCTTGTAATCACCCACTACAAGGGCAGTAAAAGGAAAAGCATCAGCATTCACACATGCTAAACTTAGTGTTAAGTTTGGTTAATTTTTAGCAGCTTAGGAAGTTGTGCCAGCCCAACCTGTTTGATCAGTTCCTGGTACGGGGGTGTAGGGCAGACCCAGAAAATGGGATAATTCAGTAGCCAAGTTAAGCAAGTTGTGTGAACAAGTATTGGGAGGGAGGCTATCCCCAACCGGAAAATAACATGGAGCCTTCAAAACTAGTAGCCTTGATTCAGGGGACTCCAAAAATAAAATAAATAAATAAATAAATAAATAAATAAATAAATAAAAGAAACAAATCAAAACGAACCCCCCCCCCCAAAAACCCAATTTTTAGCTGTTGTTTCAAGATCCCTTAGCAAATATGGATTAGGAAGTGGTTTAAAGTTAGAGCCATGCCCTGAGCTTATTTGGTAACAAGATCCCTGGCCTTCTGGCACCACAGCAACTCAAGGACCTGTTTCTCTGCTAGAAGACTTTAGAGTTAACAACCAGTCTCTTCTGCTTTCTCCCAGAAGGGTCATGTTTTCCTCCAGCAAAGACAAGTCAATGGATGGGGAGACCATGATGTCTCCAATCTCTGCATTTTACTCATCTCACATGCTTAGAACTGGCAAGTAACCAACTGCTGCTTAGGTCCTATGTGTCTCAAGTTCTCTAAATTCTAATTTATAGCTCCTTAAGCTGCTTTCTACTCTTTCGTAACAGGTGTTCTTCCAACCTCTTGATTAGACTGCCCTTCACTAAGCTGCCATCTGCCAAATTTGCTAGGATACTGGTTGGAAACTAGGTTAGTTGTGCTCCTGACACACCTAAGGGGTACAGGCTGGGAAAGAAAGAAAGATGGACAGGCTTTTATAAATTTTATAAGTTCTGCTGGTTCAGTTATTGTATGTATGCATATATATATCCCCCCCCCAACACACACACACACACACACACACAACTCACCACTCTATTCTGGACACAGAAAACAAAACAAAACACTGCAAAGTTACAAATTTATTTTGTTTAAAATAAATACAAATAATTCATTAATAAACTTTCCCCCAAATAGACAAGCTGAGCCTCTCTATTACACTCTGCTATTCCTCATTATAAACTTTCCAGGAAACTTTGAAGTTGTCATTTGAAGAAAAAAAAAAAAAAGAAAACAAAAACCAGGCAATTAACCTATAGTAGAAATCAGTTCTCGTGAACGACCTCAGATATTCAGCTCCAGAGATGCTAAATGCTGTAAATGCTCAATATCCAAAATTCATTAGCTATATTAAGTTCTGTGATGTAGCAAACAGATCAAGCCAGTGGAAAAATAGATATAATTCTCTCTCTATAAAAACTAGAATTCCCATCTATGCTAGAAACCTGTTGAGCTGTCTAGCCCACAGCTTCCCACAGTACAGCTTTGCAAAATCAGCAAAGTAGCTTTTAAATTGTAGAATCAATGTAATCTCCCTACTTTTACAATCATCAAACTAAATCTCCATTAGAGCCTTGCCTGCTCCTCCGACATTTGTGGAGCACATTTCTCCAGCACCAATTCTAATTCTAAATCCTTAAGAGCTTGACCAAGATAGAGGTTGATCGGATAGTTCTTTGTAATCAATATACACCATTTCCACTGTCTTAAGTTACTTCTGCCCCAAACTCTCTGTAAGCAAATATTGGGAAGGTGTGGGGTGGGGGGAGACATCCAGCAGGAAAACTTGCAACTCCGAACTGGTTCAATTACCCTAAAAAGAACCACTCTGCTAATTACTGTTGCCTAAGTTCTCAGATTTGCATGAAAGAGATTTCAATGGGCTTTGCTTCTAAGTTGTGTCAAATTCCCTGTTTTTAATGATGCCCTTGAATAGCAAATTAAGAGCTTGGATGCTATCCCTGAGGCCAGTCACCCAAATGCCTTTGAAGAGTAAGTACAGTCAGAGCTGAGGCTGAAGTGTTTTTGAAAACCTCCCATTGTGTGGGTTTTTTCTTTCTTTCTTCCTTTCTTTCCCACCTCCCCTTCCACAGTGAGGCCTTAAAATCAGATTGGAAAAATACTGCCCTGTTCTTAAAACTGGGTAAAAGGAGAGTAAGGAGATAACACGTGGGCTTTGATCAGTTGGTTTCTGAGAAAGACATCCCCCACCACCACTATGTGACAGTACAGATTGCAATCTTGGATCTTAGAAAAATATTAGATTAATAACTGGATGAGTGTTGAAGCCATCTAGAACTACTTGGAAAGCAGAACAGCCAACTGGATTAGGGAAAGGGAGCATCTGAGATGTCTGTTTTTATTGGTCCCTATGGACTTTTGGGGGGGGCAGAGAGTCGTGTGTTATGTGGAACACCTTAGGTTAAATATTGCAATGCACAGCACAAGGCTGCTTGATCTTGATTTGGACTTAGGCCTGTCTCATTTAACAGGACACTTCCATTGACTTGGGGCTCGACTGTCCACTGTTCTTGGCAGAATTAGGAGTCAGCTCAATGTCTGCGGGAGGACGATTCCGGGCACCTTCCCCGGTTTGGGCCCTGCTTCTGGCTCCCTCGCCTGTGTGAGACCGACTCCGGACACCTTCCCCAGTGTGGGCTCGGCTCCTGTTCCCTTCGAGAGATGTGACACTGGAACCAGAAGCTGTGCGGGATCTCATTAGTCTGGTCATGCTTGCGGAAGGCACTGTTGAAGGAAAACTCTATATTAGGAGATGTATGCTAATTTGCAAGAATCATTATTTAAAAATGAAGTATGGGGTGGGGTCTGTGTGTCTGTGTGCGTGCAACATTTGAGACAAGAACTAAACTAGGCCACATACCAGAGTGAGTAAGACTAGGATAAGAAATGCATTGCTTTAATGTAATTTAAATGTTTATTAACTGGTTATATATAGTTAACAGAATCATTTCCCTTGTCTTTCATAAGGGTTCTCTTTTATCGCATTATAAGTTATATTTGGAGAGGCTCTGGAGATCACACCCAAAGCTCCAGAGAAAGGGTTTAGTTGTGTGCCCTCTGATATAGTTTTTGAACCCAACCACCACAACAGAAACCCCAAGACTAAAATCTACAGATTAGAAATGTTTCACAATCAAGGAAATAATCTAAAAAGAGTTGGGGGGGGGGGAAGGACCACAAAATCTCCAGAGACAACATTGACTATAGCAGACCATCAATCAGATATATTGGGGCTTCTAGAACAAAAGCAACCGAAGGCATCTTGCACAAATTCAGCCAAACCCATCTGCTACAGCAACTTAACCAAACTTTTTTCAAGCAACATCTACTTACTGTATCCCATTCCCTGTATGAAGTACTTGAAAGCTTCTGCGAGCTTGGCAGGCTGCAAAATGAAGCAGAGTACGTTAATGTAATAATTACCTGTCACTAAATATTTCCAAGAAAGGAGATTGGAAAAACAGTGGCCAAAATCCAGGTGGCCAAAACAAAGGATATGAGGTCCATTGAATACATTTAGAGATGTGGAAGAACTGCCAGCTTAGATATCTTTGCAACCCAACCCTAAAGCCTATGATGAAGCCACCTTGGTGCAGTTACACATTTCAGAGTCTGGTAACTCTACCTATGCAGCTTTGCTTTCCATCACAGATGGTAAATATAAATAACTGGACCTGGTTTGCAATAGACCAAATCTTGTGAAATTCTCTTCAGTACACTTTATCTTCTGTTGCCCATCCCTCCCCTGCAAGCCTCTAGGAAGGATTGGAGAAGGTTTAATTCAGCCGAGAGGCTGCACTCCCAGCAGACCCAGTCAGCATAGTGAGTAGTGAGGGATGGTAGGAGTAGAAGTTCAGCAATGTTTGCAGGGTCACAAGTTGATTATCTCTGCTCTGGATTTAATTGAAACTGTCAGCATCTAACACCAAGCTAAATCCAGAAATGCAAGGGAATTCCTGGAAGCTTGGTATTCAGACAAGGCAGCCATCAACAGGCACACAGAGATAAATAGCATCTACAGACTATTCAAAAGAGACAATAGAAAGGAAAACAAAAGACCAGAACTTCT